TAGGGACAATGTCTGGAGATGAATATTATATCCCAGAATTCAATCTGGAAGATTGAACCTCAACAGAAGAAAGATTAAGTACATGAGACTGAATTGATGAAACAACATTCTATGACTTAACTAAAATATTGCTGCCTTTCTTCTAAGCTTTGTTGTCTAATTTTAAAGGATTTTTGTCCAGGTCGATAGGTGCATGTACCTACTATTTGAAGTGAGAGTGGAAACGGGCAGAGGGTCAAACATGGGGTAAAAAACATATATACATATGTATGAAAGTAGAAATGGAATATTATTGATGATAACATGCATGATTAAGCCACTATGCAGTTTATTCTAGATGGGAAACCACATTTAGTATGTTGTGATGATGCTCAGGGAATGAATGTTAAATAATTAAAAAAGAAAAAAAGTTGCAGGAGGAAAAAACACAGTAAAACTGTTCTTATCGAATTTTTTTAAAAAAAATCCATATTTGATGACTACAGTAAGCTACATAGCCCCAGCTAGGTACTACTTTATAGTATGTTCATTCTACTCACTGAGGTTTATGCCTAAAGTCAGACTTGGGTTCATGTATAGGTATATATCATCTGTGCTAGTTATTGGATATATTTAGACTAATTAAGTTCATTAGTAAATCAATTAAATGGGGAGGAAAGGCATAGAAAGCAACCATGGATACCAGAGACAATGTGGTAGGAGGGTGGGGCATGGCAGAGGGTGAGGGATAGGGAATCAAGGATGGCAAAATGAAAAACAAAGTATACAAGACATAAGAATTGGAAAATTATTTGCTGATAGCATGTATGTTGATGTGCTTGATTGAACCAATATACAGTGTATTTTGGATGGAAAATTCATTTGTATGTTTTAATGATGTATAGTGAAGTAATGTAAAAACTAAATAAATTTAAAGAGAAAAAAACAAATATTTGCAATTATCTAACATTATTTTTATAAAAAACAAGTGTAATTTTAATCATATTTTAAGTAGATTTGCTGATCTATTTTTACAACAATTTACACATTTTTACAAGATTTTTGTTGCATTTGTTTCTTGAAAGAAACTAGATCATGTATAAAAGTGTTTTAGATAATATATCATAGGGTTTTTTAAATTTAAAAAAATACTATTGTACATTCCTCATACTAAAAAACTTCTTTTTGAATAGTAAACATTATTTTAATTCCCTAATCATACATGTAAGGACATGTATTGGGTAGATTATAAAATCTCCTAGTCTTATTATTTGCTTCAGGCAATTAAATATATTTAAGAGAGAGTTTGAAAATATATGTAACATGCACACACACCTATGCACATTCACACAGAAGTTTCCATAAGCTATAAAGTTTAATCTAAATGTGTTTCCCTTTTCAGAAGTTTTACTTTCTATTATTTCTTAATATTTTAGAATTTATTATTTACATTTAATTGTTATACATATTTGTGTGGTATAGCATGGGCTTTCAGAGCATGCATGCAGTGCATGACAGTCAAATCCATAATAATACATATTCATAATTTTCCTTTCCTTTGTTTCTCTTGGAGAGAAACTTGCTAAATTATATTACAGTATGGTTGCCTCACATCACAATTAAAGTATGATACAAGGAATTAAGAAATCATGAAAGGATTATTAGATTTTTTAAAACAATAGACAAGGTTTAAAGTGCATGGCTGAAGTAGGATAGATTATTGAGATGTCAGATGGAAAAATTATGTTCATGACACAAACTATATCTTCTAGCTTGTAGAAAGGCTTTATCACTTTGTTCCACTTCTCAGGTATCTCTTTACAAGTGACTAAGACACATATATACAAAATAAAAATTGATGCCATGGTAAAATTAGCCTCAGGATTCTCCCCAACTTCTACATCCAATGATAAACAGCTACATTCCCTGGTAATGTGTTTCTCTTGCGTGAAATATCCTTGTTAGTCCTTCAAAAATCCATATTTAAACCACTTGTTCTTGTGGAAAAAAAAAAACTAGACAAAAAACATCCTGATCAGGAATTCTGTATTGTTCTTAGCATACTCATATTACTAGGAGTAAAGATTTATTCTTCAATTGCTTACTTGCCAAGAGGTTGGAAAAGGATAATAAGTTTAAGAAAAACTTTCAAATATATTGTTGTCTTTTATTATTATCTTTAAAATGTCATATAATGGCCTTGGTAATTATTCAACTTGTTACTGTAGCTACAGAACTCTTAGATCTTACTCATTGGTCTGCTAAACTGTACTCTTCTCAGAGACATAGATAATATCCAAGAATTTTATTATATTCTTATTTTTACCTGTTTTTGCTTGCTGTATCAAAGCAGCTGAATTTGAAACAAGTTCAATATCATTGCCTTCAAGTATCGAGTCATCTTTCTAGGTTTGAGATATTGATCAAGCAACACCTGGTTGCATTTGAACCATCTGGATGCATTTTTCACCCAAGAAATTTTGGATTTCAACAAGAGACCCATTCTCCTGAATAACAACATTGATGGGGAAACAAGTGTACACAGACCTCATCTTGTAGCAGAAGACCAATGTAACACCCTTGATCATATTCTGTACTTGACTTCAGATAGTGTGAACTGAAAACCAGTTCCTTTCTGTCTCCCCACCATTTGTCAACCTGTAGCCTACTCTTTTTCTTTCCAAGGAGACTAAGCTCTACATTGAAGTGATTGAAGACCCTGTACAGGGTTTCTCAGGGGCCCTTCACAATAATTATGCATCCCTTCAAAGTGATGTTAACATTGTCAGGAATGTCAATGATCTGATTACTGAGAATTGTCTTCATCCTCAAAGTAGATGAAGCAAAGAGAGCATATTCATAATTTTCAACAAAGTTTCATTTACCCTATGTGCCAAAGAGGTAAGTAAGCAACATAGATACTATATATAGGAAAGTAGCTACTTAATATTATGTTTCTTAAATAAGTTTCCAGTACAAAAAGTCACCATTTTATCAAATTCTTAAGAATTTTTTTCTCTCCTTAGTAGTCTCTTCAGTGCTCCTTTCACATCCCTGTTTCTCAGAGTATATATGAGAGGATTGAGGGTAGGAGTCACAACAGTATAAAAGAGTGTCAGAAACTTACCCTGACTATGGCCATAGGATCTCTTTGGTTGAATGTATATGGCTGAACTGGGCCCAAAAAAGAGGGACACTACAATTAGGTGGGAACCACAGGTTCTTAAAACCTTGTGCCAAGCTCTGACTGACTTAATTTTTATCACAGTTTGGACAATGCATCCATAGGAAACCAATATCAATGTCATAGGAAGGAGGAGGAGAACTAATGTAGCCACAAAAAGCTGGACTTCATTTGCATGAATGTCAACGCATACCAGCTTCATCATGGCAGGCACCTCACATAAAAAGTGGTGGATAAGACGATGACCACATCGTGGAAGTCGAAGAGTGATGCTGCTTTGAATGAGAGTGTTTCCTATTCCACTTATCCAGGCTATTCCTGCCAAAGTCTTGCAAAATGATGGGTGCATAAAAGTATTGTAATTGAGAGGTCTACAGACAGCTACATAGCGGTCGTATGCCATGATTGTAAGGAGAACACATTCAGTAGTTCCTAAAGAGAGGGACACATAGAGTTGAATGGCACAGCCAGCAGGTGTGATGGTCTTGGCTGGTCCCTTCAGGTTCCACAATAATTGGGGGACAATGCTAGTTGTGAAGCAAAGGTCAAGGAAGGAGAGATTTGTGAGGAAGAAATACATAGGTGTGTGAAGTTTGGAGTCCAGGCAGGAGACTGTGATGATAGATATATTGCCCACAAGAGTCAGAAGATATGATATTAAAACTATCACAAAAAGGATGACCTCCAACTGGGGTTGGTCTGAGAACCCAAGCAAAATAAAATTTCCATATGTTTCATTGTTTTGTTCCATCAGTTTTCTAAGGTAGAAGAGCAAAAAGAACATAGAGAATTCAATCTAAGGAAATATTATTATACTATTTAGTTATAATATTTGAAGTAAGCTCTTAGTTGTTATTTAACGAGTGATATTTATCTAAGACTATAAAAAGGTAATTATTAAAAACAAAGGCATTCTTTTGCATTATCATTTTTGTCTCAAACATTTGATGCATTCTCTTTTTTCATGTAATTATTTTTTCATTGGTTAATAACTATTTTTAAAGATAATATACCTAAAGAAGAAAATAAAAGCTTCAAAATTTGGGTGGCCTATACAATTATTTTAGTAGTAGTAGGAGAAAAAAAATTATAAATGCTTAGAAAAAGTTACATATTCAATAATAAGTGGATTATGATTTATAAATACTTAGACCAAGTTACATATTCAATAATAAGTGGATTATGTGGGACCCTTGCCCATTGTAACAAAATAATGGGCAAGAGTGAGACGGTGGTCAGTAAACTAAATGGAATACATTTTTAAATCTTTTCCGTCTTATAAACAAGTAGATTATGATAATGTACTTTATGTCTAATTATCTAATCAAAGTGATACAGGGTCATACACACACAAGTTTTAAGATAGAGGGAAGCTAAATAATTTTATCTTTTCTTTAACAATTCACATATCAATATTTATCACAAAGGTCTTTTATTTCTTAAGGTTGATGAAAAATACATTTGTTATATTTGAACATAAAAAGATTTAGACTCACAAACATATTTGTCAAGACAGATAATCACAAAATATTGATAAAATAAGGTTAAGAAATCACCTATTCACACTCATTCAAAGGCAAATTACAGGCATTTAATAAAAATTATGAAAAGCCAAAATATGCTTCTTTTATTCATTTTGCATTGTTTTGATCAATTAAAAAATATTTATCTTAATATATTCCACCATGAGTTTTCTTTCTTCTTTTTAATGATATTATCATCTGTGCCCAAAAGTTTTCTGCCCTTAAATCAATGTCTTACTGAATTGTTTACTTTTAAGAACAATAAGAGCTCAACTAATAATTTTATTCAGGCATGTCATTTTAAAAAGACATTCTGTGTCTTATATGGGGTAAATAAAGTTTAAAAATTTTAAATTCTAGAGTTAAATATTATATTTAGATTTATATGGCTAATAATCTCTACTCAGGAAACCTGAATATTATTCTTCATAGATTCTCATGGTCATATTCTGCATATTCTTAATGCTGTTTAATGGATAATACTTTTGTTTTTATTTTTACTATGAGGTGTACATGCTTACCAGAGAGAGACAGAGACATAAAGAAAAAGAAAGTGAGAAAGCACTCTCTGGGGGGATGGCCATTCTGCAATCTCTTCTTTCCCATTTACCTCTTGGGATTTGGGACATTCACATAAACCAGTATGTTTTTCAAGCATCTGGGTCTGGCATTCAAATTCCAAAGTAAGTCATATGCAATCCACCTGTCTTACCCATCATTCTACTAATTGGCCCTACACTGTTAAGATCCAAGACTTGCTTCACTCAGCAGTAAATCTTCCATATTCTTATACTTTCTGTCTTGAAGCAAACCAGGCTATAAAGAAGAGACATTGAACTTCCCCACTTAATATATACCAAGTGTCCACACTCTATGACTGAAACTGATGGGCTAAAGGATGTACAAACACAAGATATGGGTGTGAATACCAGATGTAGTGTGTGTGGAGGAGTGGGGCCTGGGGAAGGGCATTTGGAGGAGGGATGTGGAGACAGAGCATTGTCAGAACGGAGAGGTAATGGTGTAATCTGTTGAAGATATTTTGATCAACTGGACCGGGGAGAAATGTTCACATATTGAGATGTTCACTTTGTAAGCTAAATAATGTGACTGAATGTATTTTTTAAAAAGTAAATAAATAAATAAATAATAATTTAAAAATGATCCAAGACCGATGTGTTTTAGTTTCTAAAATTATATTTCATTTTTACAACAAATAATCAGATCAAAAGCAAACATAAAAATTATTCCCATAAATTCCAGAAAAATTATACAATTTACATACATTTAGAATCCATTTTAAATTTTACTCAGAATGTAATGTCTTTCAGAATATTAATGTATGTGTTTGCCAACCTTCTTTTTTTTTTTTTTTTTTTTTGCTATAGGGTGCGTGCGCTCGCCAGACAGATAGAGAGAGACATAGAGACAGAAAGCGAGAAATCACCCCCCAGGGGGGATGGTCACGCTTCAATCCCTTCTCCTCCATTCTCCTCTCAGGATCTTGGGCACGCACGCACACGCGCCCAGCGTGAGTTTTAAGCCACCGGGTCCGAGATGCGAACCACAGTCGACTACGTGGGAGTCCAGCGACATAGCCATTACGCTAACTGCTGGTTCCCTTTGCCAACCTTCTTAAGCAGAAATTTAGGCATTTCAATTTTGTACTTTGGTGCCAAAATACAAAATCACATATTTTGATAGAATTTTATTTTAAAACAATTTATGCATTTATTTATTTTTATTTTTTTAATTTTGCCTTTTTAATTGTAACTATTATTTTTAAAAATTTAATCACTGTACATCATTTAGCTTGTATAGAGAATTTACCGAGCATGAAATACACCTCGGACCATTGCAGTTGAGGATACTGTAAATGTCATCATCAAAATTAACAAAACATCTGTGTCCCACAAAAGTCTTACCTTCCATTTTGTCTCCCTAATTACCT